AGAGCTTGGCAGCCAGGGGCATCTAGCTGGGGTACTGATTCCCCCTCAGGGGCTGGCTCCTGTCTGCTCGCCCTTCCACTCCTGGTCTCGGGACAGCCCCTAATGCAAACCCATAGTCAGTTAAAAGCCCTCCCTCTCCCCAGTTCTGGGAGGGTGGGGGGCCGGCTAACACTGAGCGTTTCCCAGTGACTCAGAGCTAGAGCTTGGACCCTGCTGGGCACTGTGGGGGCACAGTGATCCCGGAGGCCCGGCTCCTGCCTTCGGGGGACTTTGGGGCTTTGTCCTGAGGGGAGGCCGTGGGGAGGGAGGCGTGTCGGGTGTGAGGGCGGAGAGGGGCCCCACTGCCAGCATCGCCAGCCTCGCCTCCCCCGGGCCCTGGGCGGTGGGGAGTCTCTGAGGGTCAGCGCTGCGCAGGATGGACACCAGGTGGGGCAGAGAGGCCCTGGGCGTCCTCAGGCCCCAGGAGACCCCCCCTCGGCGGGTGACGGAGCCTGTGCGCCTCGCAGTCCTGGGCCATAATCGCCCCTTTATGCTCCCTGCTCTGCGTGGGTACACAGGCCGGCATATGGGTCGCGTGACCCACGCCCCGGCGCCCGGCTGGAATGGACGCCCACTCGTCCCCCGTTAGCACAGCCTGGGGTCCCCCAGTGGCTGTGTGAGGCCCTGGGAGGGTCGTTCCCTTTCCTGAGACCCCAGTGGCCACGGAAGCACAGTAGTATGAATAAATATGGGCTCTGGGCCCAGCTGGGGACCTGGGCACGTCGCTAGGGACTCCTCTGTGAGCCTCAGTTTCCTCATCTTTGAAAGGAGGGCATACCTCCCTTCCCCCCAAAACGGGCCACTGGGAGCAGATGGTGGGCAGCTCAGCGCCTGGCACAGAGAGAGCTCTCAGCTGACCGCAGGGCAGGGCCCTCCCTGCACCCTGGGCTCCAGGTCCCGGGCTGCTCCTTCCTTCCCCTCCAGCCCTGGCCGAGAGCCTCGTCTGCTGCCTGTTATTTCCTACAGCTCCCCGGGAGGCTGTTCCCTTCTAAACAGCCATAGCGTCTCCCGGGAACTTGGTGATTGTGGCATCCTGCGGCCCCATGGCGCCTGCCTCGGTTTACCTTTCTTGACAGTGGCAGGGCTGGTGCCTCAGGCTGCTTTCCCGAAGGAGGCGCAGGGAGACTTGGCTGCCTGCCGAACCTGGCCACGTCTCTTCCTGCCCAGAGCTGCCTCGGGCTCCTTGCTGTCCTGTGTTTCTGCCCTAATCTCTTCCCATCTCTCTCCTAGGCCCTCTAGGTATTGCTTCTTGCTGTTTCTTGTTGGATGACACCCACCCCCGTTTCCATTCACCCTTTAGTTCTTAGCCAAGTAACAATATTGCCGTTAAGTCTGGAGGCAGAGAGATCCAGGCATGGGGACAGCCAGTGCAAAGGTCCTGGGGCAGGGCCATGCCTTCTTGTTGGAGAAATAGTGAGGAGGCCGTCGTGGTGGGAGCAGGCGAGCGAGGGGGGAGAGGGCAGGGAGGGGCAGGGGCAGGGGCAGGTCCTGCAGGACCTTGTGGATTGGGGGAGGGGAGGACTTGGTAAAGGCCGTGGTCAGAGGAGGGGTGGGATGTGACCCCGGTGCTCACGGGGGTGCCTTGCCTTTGGGGTGAGGACAGACTATGGGGGGTGAGGGTGGGAGTGCATTGGCCCCGGTGGGTGAGGATGGAACTCGACCAGGAAGAGGCAAAAGTAACAGTGGGCATAACGGGACAGGCTTTGAAGGCAGAGCTCACAGGATTTTTTTTTTTTTATATTCTCTCCGGGTCCCTTGCAAATGACCCCACACTCGGGGACTGCTAGAAAGCAGGAGGGTCGTGGGCTTTGCAGGGTCTTAGCTTCTGTCCTAGCAAGTTCCTCCGGAGTTCATGGGGGCTGAAGAGACACTGTCCCTTTCTCACTCGTGAGTGGTGACGGACCCTCTCCTCTCCGATTCCGTCCTGTGCTCCCACCCTCATTCCAACTTCATCATCCTAACACTGTCCTCTCCCTCCCCACACCGGAGCCCAGCAGGCTGGGTTTGGGAGCTCATGGCCTGGCCTGCCTGTACCTGGAGTAGCCCCCTCCTGCCCAGACATCAAGCAAGCCAGGGCTGCAGGAGCCAGGGGGTGATCGGGAGCTGCCTTGTGTAGAAGGCACTGCTATCCCTGCCCCCGGGGGCTGTGATGAGTGGGGGGAGCAGCTATAGCTCGGGCCTCCCCTGCACCAGGCCTTCCATGCAGGTGGCCCCTGCCCTTGCCAGCTGGTTTCCTAGGTGAGGAGATTGAGGCTGGAATAGGGAAGTCACTCCCCTGGGGGGCCATGGTAGGCTGGGCAGCCCTGGATTTGAGCCCCTCCGTTTTGCAGGCTGGCGAGGCTGCCTTGGTTTCCCCAGAGGCTTGCTGAGGGCCCACCCAGCTAACCAAAGTGGTCTGGGCCGGAGCCCTCTTCCCCAGATGTGCAGCATCTGTGGGTGGGGCCAGCTGCTGTGGTCGCCCTGGCCTCAGCTGGGCCTCCACCTTCCTCGTCGGCCACTTTTACTTTTAAGGGTCCCACGGCTGGATACAGAGTGAGGGGCTGTGCTCAGGTTCCAGTTTCCCCAACTGGTGGTGTCTGAGTGTGTGTTATAGTCTGTGTACATGCCTGTCTGCACGTATGTGTGGAAGAGGGGATCTGGCTTTGTGTGTCTGGATTATTGCCTGGCTGGGTGGACGCGTGGTGTGCATGTGGCCTGTCTCTGTAGCCTGACTGTGTGCACGTATCCCAGCCTAGGGTCCGTGTGTTAAGTTGACCTTCCTGTGCACCGCAGATGTCTGGCCCAATTCCATATTTATATTTCGCTGCAGCCCAACCGTATACCTGTATGGCCTGCCTGGCTGTGGCCCTGTGTGTGTCTCTGGTCTGGCTGTGTCTCTGATCTGACTGTGCTGGTGGTCTGACGGTGTAGGTGTATTGTCTGCCCCACCGTGACCCTACGTGTGTGTTTTCTCTGACTGTGCTGGCCTGAGGTCTGATCTTGTGCCTGTCTGTGTTTGTGGTCTGACTGTGCGCAAGTTTTACTTGCCTGCCTGTGACCCTGTGTGGGTTCCTTGTCTGCTGTGTGCCTGTGGCCTCTGGGTGGATCTTATGCGTCTCTGATCTGCCTGTGCTGGTGGCCTGGCCCTGTACGCGTATTCCCTGCCCCTCTGTGATACTGTGTGTGTATTTTATCTGGCGGTGTGTGTCTGAGATCTGATTTTGTACCTGCCTGTGTTTGTGGTCTGACTATGCGCACATTTTATTTGCCTGACTTTGCGTGTGGCCCCATCTCTCTTGCCTGACTGTGTATACACCTGTGGCTGTTTCTGGACTCCCTGTCTGTCTGTGGTCCAACTGAGTGCCTGTCTATGGTTTGACCGGGCAGATTCCTTCTTTGAGTCTGTTCTGACTCAAAGCTTGAGCTCTCCCTACCTCCATTCCCCACCCCCCCAATCCCAGCTTCCTCACCCTCTGCCCTGGGTCATGACCGGCCACCACCCCGTCTCCCCTGGGGCCGCTCCATGGCTGGGCGAGGTGACCGCAGCAGGGTATTTTGGGAGCCAGATGATAGGGGCTGCCCCATCATTATGTGGCACTCGATCCTGTGGCCATGGCCCAGACACACCCAGAGTACGGCCTGGGGTGGGTGCAGGGCTGGCCTGACCAAAAGGCTCTATCCTTGGGTCTCTCTCTGTCCCTCCCCCAACACCCCCCCTTCCCCGACCCTCTGCCCCGACTCTGGCCAAAGCGGAGACTGGGGAGGGGGCCAGCCGGGTTTCTGCTCTTGCAACAAGGGACCCTTCTGCCTTTGGAAGAGTTTGGATTCTTGTGGGAGAAACAGAATCTGAGTGATTAACATCCCATTTAATTTACAAACGAAGGGTGTAAGTTGTGGAGGATGATCTTAGTCATTTCCGAGGCCGTGGGGTATGGAATGGGGTGGGGGTCCGGCCTTGGAGGGGCCAGGAGGGTTCTGGAGGAAGTGACAACTGAGCTGAGACTGTCATGTGTTGGGAGGGAGGGGACAGCATTCTGGCAGAGGGCACAGCAGGGCTCAGCTTGTCGGAGACGGCTCAGGCTGGGGGCTGTCAGCGGGGCGGCGGGAGCCACAGCAGGTGTGGAAGCAGGGCAGGGCCGACAGGTGTGTGCTGGGAGGATCTGACGGGTGGCCGGACGGGCCGGGTTGTAGGACAGTCAGCAGAGTGAGCTGGAATCTCATCCTTCCAGAGTTCCAGGCCATGTGGGGGAGAAATCGCGTGTTCAGAGCAAATGCTAGAGCTGGTGTTCAATTCTGGTTTGGGGCTTGGCTGGAGTCAGGGCTTCTGTCCAGATTTGGGGTTCAGCCTGGTATTGGGACTCAGCTGGGTGGGGGGTCTTTTGCGGTTTGGGCTGCTATAACAAGGGACCGGTGGCTTATAAACAGCAGACATTTATTTCTCACCGTTCTGGGAGGTGGATGTGCCAAGTCAAGGTGCCGGCAGGTCTGGTGTCTAGTGAGAGTCCAGCTCCTGGTTCGTGGACATTGGCTTCTTGCTGTGTCCTCACAGCGTGGAAGGGGTGGGGGAGCTCTCCGGGGCCTCTAATCCCATTCAGGAGGGCTCCACCCTCACAACCTAATCTTCACCCCAAGGCCTTGCCTCCTAACACCACCACATTGCGGGTTAGGGTTCCAACATGCTTTTGGGGCAGGGACACAAGCGTTTCTCTGTAGTCGGGGCTCAGCACTTCCCTAGGACCCTCCCCCATTGTCCTGTAATCCTGACTTCCCCATCCTGTGACCCTTCCGCTGCCCCCTTCCTCCTGCTGCCTCCTCCAGGAAGGCCTCCCGGATTCCCCTGCTCCCCTCTCACGGCCCCTCCCTTGTCTCTGCAGACGCTGCCTCATCTGACGACTGGCTCGGCTCGAGTCCTCTCTGCGAGGGACTGGGGCCACCCCCCCCCCTCCAGGGTGGAGGTTGGAGGTTGCAGGTCACTGCCAAGCATGGCGCCTTCCTGGGGCCCTGGTGTGGCGTCTGTGATTGGTACCGTGGGCCTCCTTGTGGTCTTGCTGGGCGGAGGCTGCGCGGCAGAAGGTAAGAGCCTGGTGCAGGGTGTGCGGGGGTTTGAGTGCGCATTTATGGGTGCCTGTGGGAACACGTGTGCTCCCCGGGGCTCCTGGTTTTGCCAAGTGGGGCCTCTGTGCGCCATGAATGTTACTGAGTAAAAAACCTACTACGCACCGAGTCCTGAGAGATTCAGAGGTAAACAATAATGATGGTATTATTAAAGCAGTAACAGTGATGATGATGATGATGTCTGCTTCCCCAGCACCAACTCTGCACCAAGCCCAGAGCTAAATGCAGACTTACCTGCTTCCTCTCCCTCCAGCCTCTCAAAACCCAGCATGCCAATGCCGTTACCTGCTGTATTTTCCAATGAGGGAAACCTAAGGCTCAGAGTAGGCAGGGACTTAGTTGAAGTCTCTCACTCCCGAGTGAGCCAAAGAGTTACCTTCCCTTGCTGCAGGTAGAAACACCAGCACCCAGGTGGCAGACACACAGGCATCCAAACCTTTCCAGGCAGAGCCAGGGGAGGCTTCTTAGGAAAGAGAGGGCATTGGACGTGGGGCTTTGTGGGTTTGTAGGAGTTCGCTGGTGGAAAGGGCATTCCTGGTGAAGGGGTTAACACATGGAAAGAGGTAGGTGCAGTTTGGAGATGGGCAAGGCTGTGCTTCTGGCAGTAACATGAATAGGAGTTGTGGGCCCAGCACCAAGATCCGACCCGCTATGAAGGGTCTAGATGAGGCATCGCTCAGACCCATGGGGACACAGTGTCAGGCCGGAAGATAAAGAAACGGATCTTTGATCAGGCTGGTTTTGCTGAAGACCTGCTGTGTGACCTTGGGCTGGTGACTCAGCTGCCATTTCCTCTTTGATTGAATGAGACTCATAACATTATCCCTGTCCCAGGATTCTTGTGACAAAAGACACATGATAAGCCCCTGCATGCTGCCTGGCACATAGTAGGCCCACAATCCCACGTTGTTACAAGCATAGTAGTTAATGCTGCTAGGTAAGAACACCAGAGAGACACACAGCTGTCGTGTCCATTGGTGCTTTTTCTCGTTGTCACGTTGATTTTTAGTAAGTGCCTAATACGTCAGATCAACCACATAACCTGATGAGATGAATGCTGTTATCACCAACCCGGTTGTACAGATGGGGAAACTGAGGCACAGCCAGGTTACAGTACAGCCAAGAAGTGGCTGTGTTCAGATTTGAACCTGGGGTGCCTGGCCCCAGAGCCAGGGTTCCCCACCTTGGTATGAAACTGCCTCCAGTCCAAAGTCGGGGCGTTGCTGGGCTGAGAGGTGTTCAGTCCCCGCCAGTGCGGGGCCTGCGCCTTCCTGGGCTCTATTCCCTGCGGTGGGAATGGCCTCTGTTATCAGGGCACTAATTCCACTCCGGAGGGCTCCACCCTCATGTCCTAATCATCACCCAGCGGCCCTAAGAATTTTTGGTTTTTCATTCATTATTTAACAGGGTTTCTCCCGGTGGGCACTGCAAACAGGGAGGCCTGGTCATTCTTTTGGGGGGGTCGGGGGTCGGGGGGGTGGTCCTGGCCACTGTGGCGGGGCGGGGGTTAAGCAGCATTCCTGGTCCCACCCACTCAATATCAGTGTAAGGTTTGAGGAGCAAAAAACTGACCACCAAGACATGTTAAAGTAAAGTTTATTCCCCAGTAATGAGCGGGACTCATTACAGAGGTAGAGAAATCAGAATTGAAGGAGTGGGGAGGAGAGAAAGGACCCAGCCGGGCTGCCTCCAGATGGACATGGAAGGAAGGCAACACGTGGCTGGTCTGGGGGTCTTATTAAGGGGAGGAATAGGAGAGGGTTGGGCCCAGGGCGGAACAGGAAGGGGTGGGCTCCAGGGCACTTTGGCACGTGCTGATTGGTGGCTCAGTGTCTTGGGGATGTCTCTGTGGCAGATGCCAATAATGTCATAACTCCGCCCACCAGTTGGGGGGGAGGGAGAATCTCACAATCCAGACTCTGATATATTGTATTTAAAAAATCGAGAGTCTGGGAGAGTCTGGGCAGGGGTTCAGGGGCTTTGTCACCATCCACCTTGCAGATGCTTGCATCGGCTCTGGGCTCTCCCCCCCCCCCCCCCCCCCGCCTCAACCTAACAGTCAGGCGCACCCCCAGTGTGACAACTATAGATGTCTGCAGACAAAAATGCGCCCCCACGCGCGCCCGCCCCCCCCCCCCCCCCCCCCCCCGGTTAAGAACCACTGATTGAACTACACTGGTTGAATACATTTGTATTTACTGCTCGCCGTTTTGCTCCACTGATCATTGCCAGCCTTGGCCTTGGTAGAGCTGAGCTCATCCCCTTTTCAGGTGGGGAAACTGAGGCCACAAAGGGGCCATTGTGAGGAGGGATGGAGATCGCAGACTTCTAGTCCCGGCTGGAATCCTGGCTCCATCATGTGACACGGGAGGGACTGTGTTCTCATTCACATAAGCACCTACCCTGTGTCAGGCACCGGCTTAGACACAGAGGACAAAGCAAACATCTCACCCCCTTGGGGAGCAGCCAGTCTGGCAGGGAGAGAGGATGTGGACATGCCCAGGAGCAAGACAAGCAGGGCGATGAGCATGGGGGAGGGGCAGGGGCGGTCACTGTGAGGAGGTCTCTTCTGTGCAGAGGCTTAAAGCAGCTCAGGATGCAGCTCACAGGTAACTGGGGAAGTGCCCCAAGCAGAGGGATGGCATGTGCAAAGGCCTGAGGCAGGACCGCCTGGTTTGTTGGAGAAACAGCCCGAGGTCTGTGTGGCTGGAGCAGAGAGAGGAGGGAAGAGAGGGGAGGGGTAGATAGTGCCGAGCCGTGTGGGCTTGGGGAGGACTGGGCTTTATGTCTAGGGAGGTGGAAGCCCTGGAGGGCTGTGGGTAGAGGAGAGGCAGCAGCTGCTCACTGACACCCTCTGGTGGCTCCTGTGGGGAGGGCAGACCATTGTGAGAGACCTTAGGAGCTGAGGGGCCAGGTGGGCGGTGATGGGTGTGACCCGGGATGCCAGCACCTGGCACATAGCGGGACCTGGCTCAGTGGATGTTCCCTTTGGGAGCCCTTAGCTATGATTACTGGGTGGCTTCAGGTGTTGGTAGTGGGCTCGATTCAAACCCAGGTCTCTGTCTTCAGGGCCGGGACATCTTGACCCCAGTAGGTGGGCCTGTTTAGCAGGAGCTCTGCCATCTGGGGCCCTGCGGGGGGGGGGGGGAGGGCGATGGGCACCGAGATTGGCACCGCCAGCTTCAGGGCTTGGCCGAGGTCCTCAGGGAGAGGTTTGAGGTGGGGCCGTCAGGCTGCACAGAGCCTGGGGGAGCAGCCAGCGCCAGGAGGCGTGATTTCTGCTGTGGAAATGGCTCCTGGTCCGGTGGGACCTTCCCAGGATGCCGTGGGCCGGCCCAGGCCGAGTTGAAGAGGACAGTGGGTGGGTCTTTGGATCTGGCACCGGTTTCTTCTCTGCAGAATCTGAAGTGGAAAAACAGAAACCAGGCCTTTCCCAGCCTCCACGCTGTTGGCATCGCCACTCGGACCCTCAGTCTCTTCATCTAAGAAAGAAACGGGGGCCTCCGGAGTGCCCTCAGGAACAAAGACCCACAGTCCATTTATCAAGCCTGCTGTTTGCAGGGCTTGGGAGCCAGAGAGGGCGGGGTTGGAATCCTAGCTCTTTGCCCTTCACGAGCTGGGCGACCCCAGGCAGCTCACTCGCCCTTTCTGAGCCTCATCTGTGACAGGGTTAGTAAAACAGCGCCGAGCCCCCCACCAGGCCTAGCACAGAAGGAGCGCTTGCTGGCACACACTGCAGCTGCACTCAGTGCACATTTCTTGTGTCCCGGGCTCCTTTGCCAAGAAGAGGAGGGGCGAGAACGAGAGAATCCGAGCACGCACCAGGAACTTTTAGTGATGGACGCAGTGGGGAGAGAGCTCTCCTGGGCCAGCTGGCCTCTCGGAGCCCCCGGGAGAGGCCGAGAAGGCCCCGTGGCAGGGAGGAGGGGCAGCCCAAGAGCGAGTAGGCAGCTTCCCCAGGCCTGGTGTTCACGGGCCTCAAAGAGACCCGTTTTCTCAGGGGTCACTGGCACAGAGAGGAGGTATGATGGGGTCCTGGAGCATGGGCTGCCCGTACCCTCCCCCTCCCCCCCCCCCCGCCCTGTGGCACACAGCCGGGTACATCGGCCCCGTGGGTTCAGGGCTGTGATGGGGACATCCAGGCAGAGGTGGGGACGGAGGGGTTATTGACCCGGCCTGCTGCAATCTGAGAAGCTCCCGGGGTAGGTGCTGGCCCAGTGGAGGTTGGAGCTGCCAGAGGAAGGGAGGAGAGGGGGAAGGGACTCCAGGGGGAGGAGGGAGAGCAGTGCTCCCCCTGTGTCTCCTTCCCCGGATTGGTGGGGGTGGGGGAGTGTCCCAGCTCTGATAAACAGCCGTGCCTCCCGCAGCCGCTCTGCCCTCCGTCCAGCGGCTCTGAGGGAGGGTTTTCCCAGAAGTGAGACTCCTGACCTGGCCGCAGCGATTTTCCCCGTGACCTTGGCTGGGGACCCATATGGCCCCCGTCACCGTTCCTGAGGCTCCGAGGAGGGGCAGCCAGCAGCCAGAGCCAGGGAGGCGGGCCCAGCCCAGGGCTCAGTGTGGAGCAAACACCAAAATCAGGCTGGAGGTGATAGGAGCATCAGACAGAGAGGCCCCAGTTCACATCCAGGTGCCCTCATTTCTGAATCTGTATAGTCCCATCTGTACAATGGGGTCACCAGTCCCTGCCTCAGAGGGACACACAGGAGTCAAATGAAGCCACACTTGCCACGTGCGGTGGGTCTGCCCATTTTCCAGAGAGATGGCCAGTGTCGAGACCTGTCACACCCTGGGACAGAGCCTGAAGGAGGGAGGTGAGGCCAGGCCGATCGCCGATGGGCACTCTGTGCTTTGCCAAGCCTCGCTCGAGCCGTGACTGGGATAAGCAGCTCCCGGTGGTGGAACCTGAGGCTCCCCTGGGCTTTTTGGTGCTTCTGAGCAGCAGGCGTTTCCAGTGGAAGCCGGCGGCCTCGGCTCTCTCCGCTGAGTTTGAGGGCTCAGAGGCCCAGGATTGCTGCCGCTGGAGGTGTTCAGCCCCTTTCTGCCTCTCCTCAGACCCCAAACGTTTACTTAATGGTTTTCTTTAATTAGTTTACACCTTTTTTTTCAATCCTTTAAAAATTTTAAATTTATCTTTAAATAGTTTAAGTCTAAAAAAGATACCTCTTTTCCTCCTGTGTCTAGCCACATGGTTTTTGTCCCTGGAGGTAGCCACTGTTTCTAAACTAACTCTCTCTCTCTCTCTCTCTCTCTCTCTCTTTTTCTTCTCACACAAACAATAGCATTCACTGCACTTTCCCCCCCCTCATTTCATGATAGGTCTTGCTATTTTTCCCCTAATAGTTCATTTGAAAAACACCCTTGTTCCTTTTTTTACAGCTGCATAGTATTCTATTCCCTGCTGAGCCCCGTCTTCCTTTACTCACTCCCCTTCGGTTGGAGAGATAGATTATCCCCTCGGGAGCTTCTGCGTGCAGTCCTTGAGTCTGCTGGTACAAACCTCAGGAGTAACTGAATTCACTTTATGAGATACCTGTAGCTGGACTGTGAATGGGAGCTCAGTATCCCTTGGGGCAACTCAGAGGTTACTGTGAGAAGTCAATAAAAAGGAAACCATGTTATTAAACTGTCTGGATACTGCAGCCTGTCCTGGTACAGAGTGAGGCTCCTAAGGATGCTAAAGACATAGTAGTTCTCCCGTGACACTTTCGTGGAGAGACTGTCCGGTCACTGTGAGGGGCAAACATCGTGGGCACAAGGGCCAGCCTGGTCCACACCCCTCCTCGGCCGCTGGCTGACTGGCTGCGTGTGTCCGAAGCACGTGACTTGCCTGGCCAGTGCCTCGGCTTTCTCATGTGTGAAATGAGAATGAGGATGGCCTTGCCCCTCAGCACTGTCAGAAGGATTAGATGGCTCCTCATCTTAGATGTTACTAACCTGCTTGGTGCCTCAGTTTCCCCACATGTCTCACTAGGGGATGAGACCAAGTTATCTCCTGCCACGTCTTTTCCAGACGAAAGACCCTTCTATGGTTTGGCTAGTCACCACTGGGGGGCCTCTGGGTGCTGAATTTGGGGACCTCAGAATCTCAGGGGTCTCCCCTTCCACCCTCCCTGTGGCACTGAGCGGGTAAGCCCACCTGAGGCTGTGTCCACATACAAGTGTGTGTGGGGGGGGGTTGATCCAGGTGGTGGTTGGTGAGGTAGGCTGTGCAGGCCCCGGGGTACCCACAGGTACCTTGGGGCGGGGTGTGGGGGGCGGGCAGTCAGTGGCAGCGTTTCTCCACCCTCCTCCTCTCTCCAGCCTTCCTGTTGAGCTCATGGGGTGGGTAACTCCATGACCAGGCAGGGGGGCTGAGGGGCCTGTTTGCATGGCCCCATGGGGTCCTGGCGCTTTCCTGGACCTTTCTTTTTCCTGCTTTATCCCCAGAGCCCCCCAGGTTCATCAAAGAGCCCAAAGACCAGATCGGCGTGTCGGGAGGCGTGGCGTCCTTCGTGTGTCAGGCCACGGGGGACCCCAAGCCCCGGGTGACCTGGAACAAGAAGGGGAAAAAGGTCAACTCGCAGCGCTTTGAGGTGAGTTGGGGGTGTGGGGAGGCAGCCAGTGCCCTGGATCGGGCCACAGCGGCTCCGTCGTGGAAGGTGTCCCAGAGATGTTCTCCAGACGTGACGTGGGCAGCCAGGACCGGGCAAGCTTGGCCGGCACCTTCTCCAGCGGGACCCTTCCCCCACTCGCTCCCCGCCAGGGGGCCCCACCCGCTCAGTGAGGGCCCTGCCAGGCTGGCTCGCTCTGCCACCTTCCTGCTGTGTGGCCTCAAGCAGGGCCTTGCCCTCTCTGAGTCTTTTTTTTTTTTTTTTTTTAATATATTTTATTGATCTTTTACAGAAAGGAAGAGAGAGGGATAGAGAGTTAGAATCATCGATCAGCTGCCTCTTGCACACCCCCTACTAGGAAATGCCCACATGCCCTTGACCGGAATCGAACCCGGGACCTTTCAGGCTGACGCTCTATCCACGGAGCCAAACCGGCTTCGGCCTGAGTCTTTTCTGACACACAGACTCACATCCAACCTCACTGCTCACAGAAAGAAATCTGGACACGTGATTGGCATGCATGTTTCCACATGCCAGCCACACATGCTCAATGTGCATGGCGCACACCCATGTACACATAGCACGCTTTCCTTGCACATAGCCAGGCCAGCTTTCTGCCCTGTGCGCGCACACAGGACGCCCTCGCACTGGCGCGCCGCCCCAGCCCCTCCCCCGGCCGGACCCCAGCCTGGCCCTGACCTTCTTCCCGCCCGCGGCAGACGATCGAGTTTGACGGGAGCGCGGGGGCCGTGCTGCGGATCCAGCCGCTGCGGACGCCGCGGGATGAGAACGTGTATGAGTGCGTGGCCCAGAACTCCGTGGGGGAGATCACGGTGCACGCCAAGCTCACCGTCCTCCGAGGTACTGGGTTCCCCGTGTGGGTGGGGAGGCGCTGGGCCCTCGGCTTCGGGGTCAAACGCCGAAAGCATCTGTGGACGTCTCGCTTTGGCTTTTCTCTCTGGGAGGCCTTGCTCTCTCTCCTCTAGCCCCGCATCCCACCATGCCCAGGGCCTGGGATAGGAGTGAGGAAGCATTTGCAGCAAAGAGGCGTCTTCAGAGATAGAGCCATCCTCCTTTTTTTTTTTTTTTTAAATCTCAGTCACGCTCTTCTGGTTACAAGAGGCTGACTGAACCCACTGGTTCAAGGAAGAGAAGGAATTCATTGGTTCATGTGGTTAAAACGTAAGCGTCCAGCGTCAGGTTCAGCTGGATCCAGGAGCTCATACAAGTGTCCTCAGAGCTCACGCTCTGCCTCAGGGCTTATTTTCTTCTACACGGATCCTCAGATGGCTCAGTGACTCCAGGCTTCCAAGCCCCCACCCAAAAGGGGGGCCACGTAGCCCAGGACCGTGCGCTCTGGCCCAGCTTGCCCACGCCTGAGCCAGGGACTGTGGCTGGAGGAACAGAGCACTCCGAATGGCAGAGCTCTCCCTGGAGCCGAGGGGGTGTCGGTCCCTTAGACAGAAACAGCGGTGTCCCCCTCCGCCACGCCCCACTTCCTCCTACAGTCACACGGTCCTTTGGTCACACCCCTTCCACAGGCTGTGTGCTGGCCTCTCAGGAGGGCTGGGCTGGGGCACAAGAAAATGCTTCCTCCTTACAAACCAACAGCACCCAGACAGCCTCGCCACACATCCCTGCCCAGCTGTGCTCTCCTGCCTTCTCTATCTGCAAGGTGGTTGTAGCCCGGGGGGCTGTAACGTGAGTTCAAATCCTGGCGCTGCCACTCGGAGGCTGTGTGACCTTGCCTGAGTTAGAGAACCTCTCTGGGCCGCAGTGTCCTTATCTCCAGAGCAGGATAATAATGACGCTCAGCACAAGGGATGGTTTCCTGGGTCAAATGAGTGGTCCTTACAAGTGAGAGGCTCACGGCGTGCTACGCAGGGAATGAACACTCGATCGAGTCTATCTGTCTGATACTATTATTATTCTCGTTTGAACAAGCCAGCTTGGCCACCGACCATTCTGCCGCTCTCAGGTGGGGGGGTTGCTCCTGTCCCCGGCAGAGGTACCCTGACCCCCTCTGGTGTATAAGTACGAGCCCCCGTCGGCGATTAGGTGGAAGGTGGCCCACACGTAGCTCCCAGGGGGTGTCCTCCCAGCGTCCTCCAGGGCAGCAGAGCCGTGGTCAGCGTGGAGCCCTGGGAGGAGGCATCCTGTCGGCCCCAGGGCACTTTGTCCCTGACCCCATGTGTGACCTCTCAGGGTCCCGCACTCAGAAGCTCTGCTGTGACCGTCTGGAAATCCTTAGAAACGTTTTCACAGAGGCCCCCTCCTTTCCTGTTGCATGGGTCCTGGAGCCTGTCCTGCAGGGATGGAGGGAGGAGGGAGGAGGAACAAGGAGGAGTCAGAGGCCTGGCCCGCCTTGCTCCTCCCGGCAGATATTTTTGCCCTGACCTTTCCTGGCATAGTGGGAACAGCCTGCCTCCCGTGCCCAGTGCCAGCCTCCATTGTAAGCTCTCCGAGCTAAGAGAACAAGCTGTGAATCTACTAAGTGCCCCGGGCGTCTGGGAAGGCTGTGTCTCCACTCCCCGCCCCCACCCAGGCCTCCCTGGCATCTCTGTGCTCCGGCTGCTAGAAGGATGTGAGCCTGGCTGGGCACCCAGCCCGGGTGATTGACCCAGGCCCTGAGGCCCCCCGTCCCTCCCTCCTCCCTGACACACACACACACACACTGAGCGTGGAACATCTGAGCTGCTGGGCCCGGCATTCCCTGCCTCTCCCTCCCTCCCCGCTATCTGATTGTGGACTCCACTCACGCCTCCCACGCCGTTGTTTTAATTAAACTCCGAGGAATAGGGCACAATGTGGTGCGTGATGAACAATTTTGTTTAATTAGGAGCTCGCAATAACGTCAGGCGGCCTCGGCCTTCCCTGGCACCCCCGTGCCTGCCCCCGCCCTGGCTGGCTGCCACCCACACGTGCTCACGGGGACCCCAGCAGAGCTGCATGCACATGGGAAGTGCTAACATATGGACAGTGTGGGTGCAGCTGCACACACGTGCGAGCATGCATGCACATATAGGGAAACAGGAGCACAGAGGGTGCAGGCAGACCAGCCTCCCTCGTGCACAGGCCAGCTCCTAGCGCCACGAATCAAGGCCCTGCTGTTTGGGCATCAGCCTCTGGTGCTGTTATGGGCACTAATGAGATCCACCTTCTTGGCCGTTCAGCTCCAGGGCCTAAAGCACCTCGGCTCCCTCAGACCCCGGCAGGTCCAGGCCTGGTTTGGGGTTCTGCAGCTGCCATCCCAGCCTCCTCTGGGCTCAGCCAGGCTCTGTGTCCTGCCTGTATGACCTGGCACAGGTGTGTGTCTGTTGGAGCCTCAGTTTCCCCCTCTGAAATAGGAGGGCACAGGAAGGTACCTACACAGAGGCTGGCACGTAGTTAGCGTTCAGGACTTGGGACTGGGGCCGCTCACCCTCCCTGCAGCGCCCCCTGCCTGGGCCGCGACCACACCCCTCCGTTCCCCTGAGGGAATAGGGTGATGTGGCTCCCGTCCAGGCTGGCTGTGCCAAGCCCCACCCTGGAGGGGTGGCATGTGACTGCTGGGCCTTTGCCCTGTCTTCCCCCCTCTCTGTCCTCAGAGGACCAGCTGCCTCCTGGTTTCCCCAACATCGACATGGGCCCCCAGCTGAAGGTGGTGGAGCGGACGCGGACGGCTACGATGCTGTGCGCTGCCAGCGGCAACCCTGACCCCGAGATCACCTGGTTCAAGGACTTCCTGCCCGTGGACCCCAGTGCCAGCAACGGGCGCATCAAGCAGCTGAGATCAGGTGCGTGCAGGAGGCCGGGAGGATCAGGGAGTCACAGAGGGCAGCGGGGGGAGGGCAGCATCTCCAGGGCCCAGGCCGTGCGGGCTGATGGGGGACGGAGAGGCGGAGAGGAGGGCATTGACGACGGGGTGTGTCTTCCGAGCTGGACCAGTGGGGCTGTAATGGAGCCCAGACCGGCAGGGGCGGTGGATGATAGGATGATAGGAGCAGAGTTCTTAATGAGCGGGCACATTGTGGGCCAGTTTTGCGCAGTGAGTTCCCAGCGAGGCCCGGAGGATGGGGGCTGTCTGCAGTGCCCAGCAGCGGGGACACGGAGGGGGCAGACAGGCAGAGACGGTGGGCGCCCTGGAAGGTGATATAGTGAGAGGCTCCTGTGCTGACGAAGGAGGCGTCCCCCGAGGGGAGAGAGCGGCACAGACAGGGAAGGTGTGAGGACCGTGCAGAGCTGCAGGCGCAGTGTCTCCAAGGCGGAAGCCGTAGGGAAGTTATGGGCTACGGCGGGCAGAGGACGGCGGTGGAGGTTCGTTTTACTGGGGCACAGACGGGCAACCTCACCGGCTGGCGGTGGGGCCTGGGGGCAGAACACAATGCCTCGGCCACCTCCGGGACAGAGCACAGCTGTCTCGGCATAGCACCCACGTGCCCCGTCTGTGAGCCCATGTGTCTGGGGGCTGTGTGTGTGTCTTGTGTCCGTGTTCCCCTGCTTCACGACATGTCCATGTGTTTGTGTGATCTGGTCTGTGGCACATGCAGCCATGCCATCAGCACATGGTTCGCCTTCTCCCTGCCAGGGCAGAACCTGTCTCTGTGCGTCTCAGCCACACGTGTACCCATGTTACAGTCCCTTCCGTGCACCGTGCCCAGGACAGTCCCCCCACGTGCACGCATCTCAGGCCACAGCCTTCTAGCTGCAGACACGGGTGGTAGGGATGTGCCCGTGTGCACGCACGCATGTTTCGGTCCATTGTGAGTACACACGTTGGAACACGCCTTTCTGCTTTCCCTCCTCTTCTCCTGAGGACTCGGCCTGGGAGCCACCTGTGCCTGAGGCCTCCCAGTGATTCTCAGTGCCCCTTCCTCACTGCCCGGCCCCATCTTCCCGGAGCCTCTCTGCCCACCCCTGCTCTCTGTTTCCCTCCCCAAGGAAGGCCCCCGCCCTAAAGAAGGGTGGACATTAAGACCAGAATTTCTGCGCCTGGGAGAGAGAGAGCCTGACCCCTCCCGGCCTGTCTGGAAATAATCTGCAGCTTTGGGGGTTCAGCTGGGGCCACAGTCGGCAAACTCACTAGTCAGCAGAGCCAAACATCAACAGGAACAACGATTGAAATTTCTTTTGAGAGCCACATTTTTTAAACTTAAACTTCTTCTAACGCCACTTCCTCAAAACAAATTCGCCTTGGCCGTGGTATTTTGCAGAAGAGCCACACTCAAGGGGCCAAAGAGCCGCAGGTTGCCGGCCACGGAGCTGGGGGAACGATGGCAACTTTGGGAATCCGGTTGCTTCCCTGTTGGCTTCCACCATTGGCTCCCGGTACAGTGAGATGATCAGGAGTGTGGACCTCATGCCCTGAGGCCGGGTCAGATGTCCGCTGTGTCCTGGAGCAGGTCCTCTCGGGGCCTCGGTCCCTGGCGCTGTGGTGAGGGGCCCGGGACGGACCGCCTGGCACGCAGCAGGTGCTCAGGGAGCGTACGCTGCTCTGTGAACCCCAGTAAATCCGATCGCTCTGACTTTCCCTCCGCACCCCGCGCCCACGCGTTTTCCGGCGTCTGCGTAACCACCCGTTAACGATCCTGTTCTCTCTTTCTTGTCCCTCTGTTGTAAACGTTCAGAAACCTTTGGTAAGTCTCATTTCTTCACCGTGTCAACCACTAACCCCCCCTCTTCGTCCCCCCGTCCCTGCCCCTCGGACTAACAGCCACCGTGACAGTAACCGTGGCCCACTCCGCGTGGCATGTTGACTAACCCCGCCCTCCCCAGCCAGGCGCCCGGAGGGGGCCGCAGAGAGAGGAGCCCCAAAGGGAAAGAGGAAAAGAGGCAAGGCCGCGCGGGGCCGTTCCAACCCCAGGCTGAGTGCGGAGGGGAAACCCGGAGCTTTGCCTAGAACAGCCCACCTGCCCCATTCTGGGCCTTGAACTGCTGGGCGGAGGTGAAGTCACAGAAGGCCGGGGCTGGGGCTGGAGTGAGACGGGAGTGTTCTCACTGGGCTGGTCATGGGCGCTGCCCACCCTCTTCTCCCAGCATCTTCCCTGAATTCCCTGACGCCAATTGCTGGGCTCACTCTTACTCAGGTGAGAATGACTGGTAGCGGCCCATGGTTTTTCCTCCTCATGTTTCTTTGGCTGCATCCTTTTCCTCTCTCTGCAGTGGCCATGGTCTGCTTGGGCACCTGGGGAGAAGTCCTGTGCACTAGCCTCTAGCTTCTACCATTGGGGCTGCTGTAGTGAAATAGCCCAAAGCAAGGGCTGGCCTAGACTCCCAGCTGCCCTAGATCCTACCTCTCCCCATGGCAGCCTTAGGCAGATTCTCATTTCTTCTCTGTAAAGAGGAGAGGGTGGCCTTGTCCGGTTGAGGGTTTTTTGTTCAGGCTAGAGAGCCCCCAACCTGATAGGCTGGATAGCTGAGTTCAAGGCCCACCCCTGCCTTTGACTCACGGTGTGACAATTCCCTGGCCCCTCCGGGCCTCAGTTTGCCTGTCTATAAAATGGGCCGGGGCCATACAAAGGAGCTGGTGTGTTTTTTTCCTCCGGAGTCGGGGAGATACCCCCCAGAAGATGAGCAGAGGGGGAGACCTCCTTTTCCTGTCCCCTGGGTTGTCTCTGCCCCCGCACCCATGTGGACACACACAGAGTCCCTTTTTCCTCTTTCCCTTTGGAAGTAAAGGAGACTGCAGGGCCCTCCCTCTTCCTTAAACCCCCCTCCCTCCCTCCCCTGCCTGTCCTACATGGCCTGTTGGTAACACCTTCCCTTTGCTTTATTAATGCCCGGCCCTGGGGCACTAACACATCTCCTACCGTCGCTAACACGATTCCTGAGATCCCTACTGCTCCCTGCCCCTCTCAAGAAGGAAAAAAGGAAGGGGGTCATTGATCTCCCTCCCTCCGCCCAGAAGGAAGGCAACCAGCAGGCCTGGCCGGGCATAGACCCCCCCCCGGGCGCTCCATGCCCCCCTTCCCGAGGAGTGCCTGCCTGCCCGAGGGAAGCCCTCCTGGCTGACAAGCCCTGCAGCCCACCCTGCTTCTGGGAGCCTTGCCTCTGCTCCTCGCGGGCTCTGCACAGCCCTTAGGCCCAGGCTGGCTCTGGCTCACTGCCTGGCCTACCCACCCCGGCCCCCAGCACTGCCTCCTGTCGTTCACCTGACTCTCTCTGCTTCCCTTTCAGAAAGCACTCCGATCCGAGGTAAGAGGCTCTCTGCTCACCCACCCACCCACTCATGCTCTCTTGCTGCCCACCCAGCCCCCAGGCTCCAGGGGGGGCTGCCTCAGGCCTCCCCTGTGCTCCCCACTACATGTCTCCTCCTCGACACCCTGCCCAGAGTCCTTCCATTCTCTGTGTCTGTGTTGCTGTCTGTGGCTCGAGGGCTGAGTCCGGCCTTGGTGGCTCCGCAGGCCACCGGGCTGCAGGCGTGGGGCCGCCGCCTGCTCAGGCAGGGGCAGCGCCTCCCGTGCCCACCCGGAGGGCGAGGAGCCAGGCTGGTGACCATGGCTCTGCGTGCAGCCCTGGTCCATGTCCAGCCTCCACCTTCCCATCGGTAAAGTGAGTGCACAGAGGGGCCTCCCAGCTCTGCAGCTTAGATCTGGGAGGGGCTTCCGGCTGAGGGGTCCGGGAGACCGGCAGTCTCTAAGGTCTGACGTTAGCCCCTTGGGTACTGCCCAGAGAACGGGCTAGAATGGGCCCGGATAGGAGCTCTAGGAAAGAGTCTGCATCCGATCTGTGTTTCTACGGGACGCAGTGTGACTGGGGCGGCCTCTGTAGTGATCCTTGCATTCTTGCTTCCCCTGGGCCTGGGAGTTGGGGAAGGTAGGAATGTTAATGGGGCCCTTCACCTCCCAGTTGACATGTGCCAGGCCGCTCCCCTGGGACAGCCTCACAAAGCGAGGAGGCGGGGTCTGCTGAGAGCCCCCTGCTCCCTGGGTCTCCGGACCCTCGGTGCCAGGGACTCTGGTGGGAACCTGGGTCTCTCACCCACTTGCAGATCCTCACCCGTCTTCACTTACAGGTCAACAAGCACACGGGTCCCGGCCCGTGATTCAGGCGCAGAGCGGTTCTCGGTCTTTACTGACTTGCGGAAGTGAGGGCACCCTAGAGCTTGATTTCCCGTGTCCCTGGGGAAGTCCTGGGCTCATTTCCGTTTGCTCACGGGCACTGAAGTGCTTGATCGCGGCCTGTGCTGTCACGTTTGTTTTTGTTTTTTAAGTATATTTTATTGATTTTTTTACAGAGAGAAAGAGAGAGGGATAGAGAGTTAGAAACATCAACGAAAGAGAATCATCAACCAGCTGCCTCTTGCACACCCCCTACCGGGGATGTGCCCGCAACCAAGGCACATGCCCTTGACCAGAATCGAACCCGGGACCTTTCAGTCCGCAGGCCGACGCTCTATCCACTGAGCCAAACCGGTTTCAGCATGTGTTTTTGAGACGTTTCATTCACTCTTCTGTGCTCATGGGAAGTGACGTCTGCTTTGTGCCTGTGCTTTCTGACGTGCTGAGGGGAACTCGAAGAGCTGTGACGGGGGCCTGTGGTTGTAAACGTGGTTGAGAAAACCGGTCCCTTTAAATGTCTGTTCGCTCATGACCAGTAAACCCTTTGAGTCAGGCCGGTGGTTTCAAACCTCCTCGGTGTGTATCGCTCCCAACATCCTTTGCTCTAACTATCGGCAGGGGTGATCCCGTCCTGAAGTTTTGTCCAAAACCTTAGAGAATGACAACCTTGCCTCTGTAAGATAATGGCCCTGTGTGCTTTGGGGCCCGTGATCGCAGACACGTGTGAGGAAACCAGACCTATTAGTATGTTCCCCTGCACACGGGCACCGGGTCCCACCAGCACATCACCAGGGTGGCCCGTCGGGTCCCCAGGTCTCGGGGTGACCACGGGGGTTACGAGTGCTAACCCCATCTCTCCCTTTGCAAACACGCCTTCTTGGCACACACTCCCCGGCTATCGTTCATGTTGGTGGCCATGTGACGCCCGGCCCCGTGGCCAGCTGCGGTCACGGTGACGCTGGAGGCTTTCTGGGGAGTGTGGTGTGTTCAGGATGGTGGGGGCTCGGCGCAGGGTTGGGAGTTGGGGGTGGGGGGTGGGGACATGAGCGGGGGGTGGGGGGAGGGGAGAGTGCCGACCCAGCTGGGCTTCCAGGCTAACTCAACTCTTTCGTCTGCCCTTCCGGTCCAGCCGGAACAAGAGCCGGGCCAGCTGCGGCTCTGGGAGAGCCCTCCGAGCACCCCTGGGCCCCCCCTGACTGGGCAAACGTTCTCCGCTCTCCCCACAGGGGCTCTGCAGATCGAGAGCAGCGAGGAGACCGACCAGGGCAAATACGAGTGCGTGGCCACCAACAGCGCCGGCGTGCGCTACTCCTCGCCCGCCAACCTCTACGTGCGAGGTAGGGAACGCCGTACCCAGGTCGGAGGCAGGGACCCGCCCCATCCCACCCTCCTCCCCCTGGGGCTCACAGCCTCTGGGCTCCCCTGTCCCCTGCAGACCTGAGCAGGGGGCCCCAGTGCCCCGTCGAGGCAGCACCTGGGGCCAGGCGGCGTCCCCCTCCAGACCTCAGTTTCCCCGCCTGTAAAATGGGGCAGGGCCTTGGGTGGAGTACCGGACGTGGAGGAGGGTAGCAGGAGGGGACAGGGCAGGGCCTGGTAGGGGATGGGGGATGGGGAGTCAGGTCAGCCTTGAGCCTACAGGGCCGGGGGAGTCTGCAGGCCTCTGCCCCAACCCGCCCGCCCACCCCAGTCAGCTTCTTCTGTGGTGTGTCGTGCGTGCCTCCCTTGTCATGTGCTCGCTTCGCTTCTCCAGAATCCGTGGCCTCGTGGCTCGCCTCACTGCCCCCCCCTCCAGCGCCCTCCATCTAAGAGTTGGGGAGGGGTCTTCGAGGGTGCCCCCCACTGCTGGCCCTCAGCCTTCCTAGAGTCCAGTGCTCCCTCTCCCAGTCACCCTCAGAAAGGACTCGTGAGGGCCAGCGCGAGACCAGGGCCCAGCAGGCACCTGCCCGCAGCTCCATCACGCCAGCCAGGCTTCTCCCGCCCGAGGCATGGGACTCTGGCCCCAGCCCCCTACCCCCAAGAAAGCCCCCCGAAAGCATCTACACATACTTCCTTTGGGGTCCCTTGGTCCCCTCAAAGACCCTGGGGACCCCCTTGCCCTCAGGACCCCTTATCCCTGTGCTGCTGCTCTCCGGTCCTTTCAGAAAAGTTAACCCGCCGCCTCCACTGATCTCACCCGTCCACCTCCCGCCTCCCCACGGATGTTTCTGATCAGCTTTGTGGTGGAAGCAGCTTCTGCCTGCCTCCGGGCCGTCCCAACAGGCTCTGTGCACTTGACGCCACCACAGCCCTCCTCCTGGCCTCAGTTTCCCCACTTGACACACCAGGCCCCTGCCATCCTCCCCCCGGGCGGAGGCGGCCCCTCCCTCACCACAGCCACCGGCCCGGAAGCCGCTCCTCGGTTCTGCACCTTGGGTTTTGCACCTGTTCTCTGAGGAGGAGGCTGCATGGAGGGAGGGGACGGGGACGCGGGCGGGCGGGCGGGCGGGCGGGCAGGGGGCACGCATTCGATCCGCTGCCACAGCCCCTCTGGTGAGTTATAGTGCGTCCATGGCTCCCACTGACTGGTCTTTGTCTAACCTGCTTATTTTCCTGCCAACACCTGGGATGGGGTATAGGAGTCTGGCAGAGGCCAAGCAGGGTGGGGGCGGGCCTCAAGCCAGGCTGTGACAAGGACGAGGGGCCTTCGTGTCCTCAGCCCCCCAGAGGTGGGGTCCCCGGCTTGTGCCTCCTTCCTTTGGGGGGGTATCCAGCCCTCCAAATCTTTGCCTGGGTCTCAAATGCTCCATAACTTGAACTTAAAAAAGAACTGTGGATGGCAAAATATAGATTGTGTTTGTCAAGGAAGGAGAGGAGGACAGGGAAAAAAGGTCATTGCTGTTCTTTTTTATTTTTTAATTTTATTTTTATTTTTTGGTTTAAAGAAAAGAAAACAACAAACGATTGCAGCTTTTAGCCTTGGGAAGTCCTCTTTTTACTCTCTGTATCTCCCCTATTTTTTCTCTCCTCCCCATGTCATTGTGTTCTGCATCAAACCCCCTTTACATCCCTCAGAGCTTCGAGAAGGTTGGTGTGTTTTTTTCTTTTTTACTTTCTTTACCCACATTTTTACATTCTGAGAGTCACACACACACACACACACACACACACAACACACACACACACACACACGAAATACACACAGACACGCACATGGACACACACAGGCATGCACGTGGAAAATGATAAATGAACTAAAAAAAAAAAAAAAAGAACAGAATACGAATAATAAGTGCAAAGCAAACAAAGCAAAAAGCCGCCAAGCGTGAGCAAAAATCCAGAAAGACACGAAAATCTCAGCCGCGCCCAGCCCGGCCTAGGGCAGGCCGCACACATGCGATGCTTGCATTGTGGTCGCCTCTATGCATCCTGTTGGTAATGTTGTTGCTAAGTTTTTTGCACTCCTCGTCGTCATGGTAACTTGGGCCTGATGCATGCTGGGAGAATGTAAAAATTTCTCTGCATGCCACTCTTGTCGGTTCGGTTTGGTGAATTCCCAACGCCTTCTGTTGGAGTGTTTCTCGTCTTCCGTTCCGTTTTTTTTTTTTTTTTTTTGTTGGTTTTTTTGTTTTTTTTTGTTCCTCTTTTGTTTTTCTTCATTTTTCTTTCTTGATTCCTTTTTATTTAATTATGAGGTATTTTTGGTTTCGTTCTGTTTCATTTTGGGGGGGAGGGGGAGAAACCGATCAGTTCGTTATTTTTCCCCCCCTCCCATCCCTTTTCCCCGGCCCCCCTCCTCCTCCAAAGCATTTTGTCTTTGGTTCTGTCTTGTGTTTCTGTGCTGTTTGATTTCGGTTTCTTGGGCTGAGCTGTTCTGTGGTTGTTCTCCAAACGCATTGTGACTTAAAAAGCCAGTGTTCCTGTCCCAACTACCACCTGGGAGGGCGGAAGTGCCGCAGCTGGGATGCTGGGCAGAAAGTGGCCGCCCGGGTTCCAGGGGGCAGGGCATAGACAGGTGACCGGAGATGGCTGTCAGTTGGTGGGGTGTCATCAGTTGGCCTGACTCTCCCCAGCCGGCCCCCTTTTCCCCAGATCTGGCACCTCAGCCTTGCCAGAGGGAAGGGGCCTTAGCAGGCAGGTTCCCATCCTCTGCCTCAGCATGAGACCACCTCCCACTCTTCCAAACAGCCCCCCCAAAAAAACAGGCATTTGAAGTACAGCCGAATGGGCCGTCGGCATTTTGAATTCTTGTTCAATATAGTGACAAGTCCACACATGGGAAGTGGCTACCGTAAGCCGGACCCTCCTCCCAAAAGGATGCATGCTTGACAGCATTCGGAACGGCAGCTGGTGTGTGACTGTGGGGCCTGGCTGGGCACAGACACAGAACCGCCCGTCAGAAGGCGTGGCCTGGCGGACTGTGGAAGTCCCTCGCCGGCGATCCTGGCCTTGCGCGCCACGCCTCCGCCTCCCGGCAGCGTCGGCCGATTCCCCCACCGCCTCGCAGGCTCTGGGTCTAGTCACAGGTGTCTTTTGTCCAGAAATACAGCACGGCCACTTTCTGAGTCCCTGAGCATCACAGCTGTGGAATTCTGGAGAAAACCCAAGGGAACTTTGGACACAGCCTCTCCGCCCCTCTCTCTGCCTCCCCAATTCTCTCTGCCTTTCTCTCTGTCGGCTCTCTTTCTCTCTGTGTCTCTCTCACTCTCACAGACCTTCAGAGGTGCATGCTCCCATCATTTGCTCCCTCCCTCGAATTAATGGCAACCCCTCGAGAGTCCCACGCCAACCCCCACACCAGTCTCCAGTAATTCCCACTTAGATTTCTCATCTCCAGCCCCCAGCCTCTACCCAGCAGAGAGGATCACCCAGGGCAGAGGCACCCTCTTTGGGGTCACCTCTTCCCACTCTTGTCCCTTTACGTAACTCCCAGTTATGAAGCGTAGGGCCAGGTTGGCAAGAGGAGTTTGGATGCAAAAAGAGGAGAGGTGTTTCTCTCGTCTTTTTTAATCCACTGTGAGAGCATCAGGCTGACCCTCGAGGAAGTTCCAAAAGATGGAAGAGAGGAGTCTCCCAGCCCCTCTGCCAAAATCATGTCCCAGTGAATTGGAGCTGAGGGTCTCTGAAGGCCACTTGGACTTTGGGGGCAGTGTTCCCAGTGGTGAGAGCCCAGACTCTGTGCTCCAGCAGACCAAGGTTCAAACCCTGCCTCTGCTTCTTGGCTGTGTGGCTTTGGCCAGTCACCATAACGACCAGTAAGGATCGTTAGGATGTCTCACTCACAGGGATGCTGGGGGGATTCCATCAAGCTAGTGATCGCTCCTCATGGGCCCTGTGTCATCCATGGCACAACAGACATGGCCGTTGGGATTGTGGTAGGACAGGGAAGGCAAAACTTCAAGCAGATGATCTGGACTCGGCACTGGCCTTGTTTGGGGACCTCGGTTTCCCCGTTACATACCTCCCAGATCCCCTGTCGGGAAACGTGGCTGATGGGAAGGCGCTTGGAAAAGCAGGGCAGAAGCTCATTCGTGTGCTCAGATCTCATGTTTTGCTAGTGCTTTTCGGAGGCCATTCCATGATCTCATTTTCTCCTGGCTCCGAACCCACCCCCATGAGGCCAGTGGCCTCCCCGGAGCCACGTCTCTCCTCTTGTGCCCTGCCATTCCCCCGGGGCCCAGGCAGTTCTGTGGCTGCCGTGTCAGAAGGAGACAAAGAAAGGCCCCATTTGGGTGCTAGGCTCCCCTGGCAGATAGGAGCCAGCCCACCCCACGAGATACGGGCCATCTGGCATGGTCGCTCTGCCCTCAAAGCGACAAGCATTGACATTGCTGCCAGAGCAGCCAGCCCTGGGAGTTCATTGCAAAGAATTCCCAAGTCTCACTCTTTTTTCCAATTCACAATCTTGAGCTTTGCTGATGTCCTTGGTTGTTTAGGGGTGGGCTATTCAGATGTGCCCTTCCCCTGACCATCATCTCTGAGATCCAAAGGACCAGAGTCAAAACCCGTGTGGTAATGCCGCTGGCAGCCGCGCTCCCATAACCCCCCTGGGGAGGTGCTGCCGAGGCTTTTGACAAGTTGGGACGATGACCAGATTATACACTCTCCCGGCTGTTAAAGCCGTGTTTTTTGTGTTTAAAATGGTAAGCCGTTAAGGGATGAATTAGTGGCCCAAGACATTGTCATTCCTGCTTGGTCTAGCAACGGAGCATCCCTGAACCACGGTGCACAGGACCCAGTAAATGGTGTGCCACACGCCTCCGGGGTGGGGACAGACATGCAGGGAGGGCTCAGAGCTGCTGGAGACATGGGGAGTAACTGTCCAGGGACTTACCGTGAGGGTTTTGGAGGAGGCCACGTG